CACTGGGGCCACCAGGAGGGGACTGAGAAACGCCACAGGGATGGGGTGGGGAGAGGAGCACGGAGTCTACAGAGAGGAACAGAGACAGGTCAGCACTCTCCTGAGGTCAGCCAGCTACCCCCATGGGGCCTGGTCACGGACATGGCCCCGGTCACAGACATGGCTACGGACATGGCCCCGGTCACGGACATGGCCCCCCGTCATGGACGTGTGCCGTCCTCTCCCTTGGCCCGCAGCCCCAGCCCCAAAAGCACCTGTACCCTTGGGGCGGCCAGTGCTGGCGGCTGGGCCGGGCCAGTGCCCGCGCATCTGCAGCAGAGGCTGTGTGCGAGCCCCATCCCCGCCCGCAGCCTCCCGGGACTGCACAGCTGGAAATGAGGGCGGAGGCGCCGACCAGATGCCCTGGACCAGCCCAAAGCCACAGGGCTTATTGCTCTGGAGGGGTGGTATGTGTGCACGCGTGTGCGCATGCACACGTACGCACGAGCTCTGTGCACACCTGTGTACGTGAGCGCACCGGTCTGGACGGAGGTGGACACGTGCTGGGGAGGTGGCGCCCGGAGGTCTGGCTGCCGCCTCGCCCCCCCAGCTGCCCCCAGGTGGAGGCCGGGAGAGCCCCGTGAGAATCCCCGTGTGCCGCGCCCCGGGCGGCGGCCGTTTCATGTGGCTCCAACTCGTTTGGTGTGGTATCCAGGATTTCAAAGGCCCATTAGCAAGACAATCCCTCAGTCTCTGGTTTCCACCGGAATCCGAGCCAGCGTCAGGTCCTCTGCCAGGGGGGCGAACCCGCACGCACACGCGCGCACACGCAAGCTGAACGGAGCTCGTGGCCGCTCCCCCGGAGCGGACGGGGTCACGGGGCTGACAGGGCACACGCGGTCGCCGCCACCAGGGCATACGCACGGCCGGCTCCTGTTCTGGTCTTGCTCTGCAGGCCCATCCCGCTGCCCCGCCGTCCTGCCCGCCCCAGCTGGGCGTGCCCATCCCGCCGCCCAGGCCCTGCCACGCAGCGTCCGGGTCTGAGGCCCCCACACAACCGGGCCCAGCCCAGAACACGCTCGCTGGCCAGCTGGCCTTGCTCCTCGCCCGGGCTCCAGGCCTGCGCCCAAGGCCTGGGCACACTCCCTCATGGCCACGGGCTGAGCAGCCCCGGCCCCAGAGGCCCAGTGGGTGCCAGCTCGACGCAGGGCCTCCGACAGGGAGGGCGCGAGCCTGCCAAGCACAGGTCGGTGGCTGTGACGGCGGCAACCTGGAGGGACAGTGGCGGCTCCGCCGTCTGCCCGATCCTGACCACCCCGCTCCCCGCCCTCGCCTGTCCTCACGCTGCCCACCTGCTCCGCCCTCCGTGGCAGCCCACAGCCCACCCTTCCAGGCACCGTGCACCCCTGGCCGCCTCGGTGGGGGCCCACAAACATGCTCGCCCCCCCTGCACTCTGGGAAGGAGGGCCTCTGCCGGACTCCTGGGGACGCACACGGCGTCCACGGCCGGGCACATGGGGGCCGCCGGCCTGGGGGGGTCTCACTACGGGCCAGCCCCACCCTCGCTGTGCCACGCAGTGACAGAGCAGAGGCCCCGGCTCTGGGAGAACTGACGCACCTATGCTGTTTAAACAGCAGTTCCTTCCGATTACGGCTGTCCTAGCACCACGCGAGATGACAAATTCGGTCAAAAAGCAAAGTGAGAGCCACAGAACGCTCCAGCCCGCAGTCGGTGCCCTGGGGACGGCAGATGGCGAACGGCAGCACCGCCACCGGCCTGGGACGCGCTCCTGTGCCAGGCGCAGTGCAGCGCTCACCTCGCCCCCCTGGCCCATGCGCTGTGGTCCCCGCATTGAGACAAGAAGCCCTGAGGACGCCAGGGAGGTGCTGTGGGAACGGCCAGGTCACCAGGCTGGCTAGCGAGGGCCTCTGGGACAACCCCATTCTCAAGAGGAAGGTGCAGCAGGAGCCCAGGGGACAGGAAGGGACCAGGCTTGGGGACAGGGCATGCCCTCCTGAAGGCTGGTGAACAGAGCAGCTGTCTGTGCTGCCAGAGAAATTTCTAGGTGCTGGAGAGGGGTGCTGGGGCCAGCTCTGCCAGCAAGCGGGAGGCTAGTGACAGGGACAAGGCCAGCGGCAGGAGCTGGGGAAGCGGGAGGCCCGAGGCTGCTGCAGGTCCCCGAGTCGGGAGATGAAGCTGGGCCAGGCTGCCCGGGAGGGGCATCCATGTCCCTCAGCCCACGCAGGGACAGGGCCACCTCCCAGGAGGGCCAGGGCCGCCACCCCTGAGGGCCCCCCTCACCCCGCGGAGGGCACAGCTCAGAGAAGAGCACTTAGAGGCGGAAGCCCAGGTCCCTCAGCCCCGAGCCCGAGCCTTGGCCTTGCCCGTAAGGCTGTCGGGGAGCTTCAGGCCCCAGAGTACAGCCCCTCGCCCATGTCCAAGCCACCCTGCTACAGCGGGCGGCACGTGGGCCAGGTCAGGTGGCGGTCCACACCACGCACGGCTGCCCGTTCCAGCCCTAGGCCAGGTGCATCCACACGGCCAGGCCCAGCTTCCTGGCCAGAGCACTGGTCCGCGCCCCAGAGCGGCCTGGGGACGCTGGCCACCCCCAAGGCACTGAGGCACCCCCAGCAGGGTGAGCACCAGGTGGGGAGGAGGCCTCAGCAGATGCCGAAGCCACCCACAAAACCAGGAGTCCTAGGGCTCTGGGGTGGCGGGTGGGTGGCAGAGGCAGACGGCCTGGAGGGGCGGTGCGTGCCTCAGGACCTGAGGGCGGAGGGGCAGTCTCCATGTGGCTGGGCCGCGGCGACGGCCGCCAGGGCTGAGCTTCAGTCAGTGCGGGGTGGTGGGCACGAGGTGGCACATACCCAGCACACGGGGCCGGGGACCTCGGAGGCGCCACTGGACGGGGCTCGGCTCGGCGCTGGGAGTGGCCTCTGCAGGGAGTGGACAGTTGTTCTGTCTCCTGTACAAAACCCGGTCATGGGGGGCATGACCCAAACAGACTTGGAGGGCAGTAACACGTGGCGTGGTGCGCTTAGGACTCCTGGGACTTGCCCAAGAAGGGGCCAGGGCCCGCCCACAGACTCAGCAAGATCTGCGGGTGCTGACTCCCTGCTTGGCTGCCACCTCCTAAAGCCCCACGGGAGAAACCTCAGTGCCCGCCCCCTCCCCTGGGCACCCGTCGGCGTTCCCCGAAGCCCGCGTTCTGATGCGCCGTGCCCGCCAGGCAGGCCCGGGCCTCGGTGCGCCATCCTGCCCACGACCGCTGTATGTCACACTGTGAACCAGGAGCAGCGCCCACAGGACCTGAGGGAAGGAAGAGCGAGCCCCAAACCCGGGACACCCCAGAAGGGTCTCAAGAACCAGCCAGGGCCACACGCGGGCTTCCCCACACGCCCCGCCGCCCGCAGCAGCCCTCAACCACGCTCGGGTCCTCCTCTGGGCCCAGGTGGACCCACAACAGGCTCCCAGGGCCCCACATGACCAGGCAGCTCTGGGAGGGGAACCAGGCGCAGCCCGACCACATGGGGCCAGGAGGCGGCAGCAGGACATCCGCTTCCCCCTCCGTGTGGCCAGAGGGACTTCCGTGTTCTACCAAGGACCTGCGAGACACAGAGAGATGCCCCGGGATGTGCTCACTCCCAACAATTGCGCCATCTGGCCAGAAAGCCAGCTGGAACACAGCACACACGAGGAGGACCATCAAGTGGTCACCCTGGCAGCCCCCGCTGCCGCTCAGTGGTGCAAGTGTCCTGGGGGCCCGGGGCCAGCCCCTCCCCTGTGGTCTGGGGGCCCTGGCCACACCCAGGATAACGCAGCAGTGAATGTGCCTACTGAGCCCCAGGGGGATATAACAAATGAAAAACGAAAGACAAAGAACTGCAATCAAGCAAACAATTTGAAATAAGTCAATTAAAATCCTCAAATGAGAAAAGCATAGAACATCTCTGCAGGAAGGAAAGCACAGCGGGCCAGGGTGGCCGTCCCTGTGCTGTCCCCGAGGCTGGCCTGAGGCTGGCTCTGGGAACGTGGACTTCGGGAGGCTTCCAGAGTGCTTCATGGGGCCTAAACTGTCTGCACGGATGCGATGGCTGTGCTGGCACCTGCTCCCCCTCTGGATTCTGGGACTTGGGGGCGTGCCGGGCAGAGGTGCCATGTGACCAGCCCCCAATAAAAACCCTGGGCGAAGAGCTCCCTGACGGACACCTCGCAGGTGCTGTCACACTCTGCTGAGAAGCGTGTTCTGTGGGACTCCACTGGGACAGGCTCTGAACCCTGCGCCTGGTGTCCCCAACCTCTGCCTACACGCCTGTCCTGTGCTCACGGTGCACTGCATCCTTCCACTGTCTTGTCTTAACTGCGAGTCCAGCAAATCGCAAGCCTGGGTGGTCTCGGGGACCCCAGCTCCAAGTCATGGTGCCGGGCACCGAGCAGGAGCGGCCGCCCTCCACAGAGGCAAGAGAACACCGCTGGGCCAAGGCCCGCGTGCGGGGCACAGCAGAAGGCGATGTAGAGCCCGGCTCGGGAAAGGGGCCCAGCCCCTGCTCTGGGGGGGCCTGAGGACCATCCCAGCTCACAGGGGACAACAGAAGAGTCAACTGTGACAGTCACCACACTACGGCAGGTCAGCGGAAGCAGCATCTGTGCCCCTACTTGCGTACGCGTTAAGGAAGGCACTTCGGAGGCCGGTCCAGCAGCGACGACGACTCCAAGGCCAGACGCGAAGCCACGGAAATGTGACCTCGTCTCGCTGCTTCAGCTCTTTGCTGCCCACACCTGTAGTCAGAGGCTCGTGACCAAGGACATCCCCCCGCCCAAGGGCACAGTCCTCAATGCTGTCAGAGCCTCCCAGGAGACACCGAGAAGGGGGGAGAGGGAGCGAGGGAGAGCACGAAACGCTCTCGCGGTCCTCGGAGGACGCGGGGCCTGGCGCCCACGCGGGGCGGCTCTACTGCGGGCCCCAGCGGGCCACCTGGCCTTGGGTCTCCACACGATCCCACGAAAACGCCACAAAAGAAAACACAGTGCAGGGTGGGGGAAAATATATAACTTTATTTTAACCGTGGGATTTTCTTTTTATCCATTTAATAAATACAAATGAATAAAAATACTTTGCTTTGCAGAGACTGCCTCTCCCTCTCCTCGATTCACGGAAGACCCCGTGGCCACCTGCTACTGGGGCTGCAGCACACGTGGACCCTGTCCCCACACGCTGTCCCTCTGCGGAGAGGCCTCGCCTCCTGCAAGCGCGCCTGCAAACTACTGAGGCGCAAACCTCTCTCCGCCCCCTCCAAACACAAGTCCTGGATGAAGCCCACATCCCAAACGATGCCCTCTGAGCAGGAGGGACCCTGGGCTCCACAGAGGCCGAGCAGAGCCCGCACCCAGGACATCACGTGTGGGGCTGCGGTAGCACAGACGCCTGTCCCCAGACGTACCACACGAGGGAAGGAAAGGACCGAGCAAAGGAAAACTGGCTGTATGTCTTGTAGACCGTCCCTGTTTCAAAAATAGAAATTCCTATTTAAATTCGACCTGTGTGAAACAGGCCACGTGTGACTGCACGCGACAGGTGTGTTATTGCTTATAAGGGAGCCCTGGCACCCTGGCACCCTGGCACCCTGCCGCCCGAGAGCCGCCTGTGCTGCGGAACGGCCAGACCGCGTCCAACCACAAACCACAAGCGTGTGCTCTGTGCCCACCGCGGGCCCGGGGGCGCCGCTGCCACGGGCGCCGTTGGGTCGGGGATAAGGCAGGCCCGTGCTCAGCGCTCACAGCAGCTTCCCCTCCAGCTCCAAGCTGTGAAGGACGATTTTGTCCCAATACTTTTCTGCTGCAGCCACAACGTACAAAAGCCTAGAACTCCCAGTTTTGAGACTGGAAAAGACAAAACTCCTACAGATCCAGAAGAAACTATGACAAAAACTTTCAGTCTCGTGCCTGCACTAGTAACTAAGACAGATGATTTTTTTGATGAATATGATCAGGAAAAATTGCTGGTCTTTATGACAATAAACTTCTTTCCTATGTGCCTATTTGTCATTAATCTGCATCTTTAAATGCATTTATGTCCTGAAATTATTCCTAAGTGTGATAACTTGTAATAGCCAACGAATGGAAAAAATGTAACCAAATTACAAAAAAAATCTGTTCGTGGAACGTGAAGTGCTGAAGCGAAGTCGGGCGCACCCTGTGGGCGCGCGGGACCAGAGGGACCCACGCGGTCGCCGGGCCCGGCCCCCTGCCTGGGCCACAGGCCCCACTTCTTCGGGAGTATTACCGGTTCCAGTCCCAAGGGAGGCCGGCGCACACCCCTCAGCGCTCGGGGGGGAAGGAAAGCCACTACCTGTCGGACTCGCAGGCACGTCAGCTGGGAGAGGTGACGATCTGGCTGAGCCGCCTCGCTGGGAACGCGAAAGCTGATCCCGCTGGCATCATCCGACACGGATCAGCCCCTCGGAGGAGAAGCCTGCTTGGGATGGGAAAGGCGGAAGGAACATGAATGCCGCGGGCTGCAAGCTTGCCTTTTTTGGTACCAGCACAGAGTGTCACAGTCACTAAGAGTCCCGGAGGAGAAACACTGGACGCTGCCCGTGGGCGCGGCCTCAGAGCCCCAGGGACTTCTGCACGGTCTGCTTGGCGATCTTGTAAAACTGCTCCCGGTCATCCCGCCACATTTTGGAAGCGTCCACGTTAGCTCCGCTTTCGTCATTGGGCTCTGAAAGAGAAGGCAGACGGCGTCCACTCGGAAGGGCTCTGAAAGGGGGGCCGAAGCCGGCAGGGTCTCCGTTCACTGAGAAACACCCGGGGGCCTCCCAACGATGCAGCCCAGAAACGGAACGCTGGGGGGAAGGGCGCCCTCGACAACGCGCCGTCTCGCCTGAGAAGCGGCTTGAGGGCAGCGGCCAGGCCCGCTGTCAGGATCCGCACTCCCGAGGGTCTGGATGTGCTCACGCGAGCCGTCTGGCGTGCTCTGCACACTAGGACCTCACACGATCTGCGACCCGCTCGGGAGAGGGAGCCAAGACCGCCCGCCCGTCCGCCCGCCTGCTTCCCCCTGCTTCCCCGGGGCTCCATGCAGACCCCCGCCCGCCTGCTTCCCTGGGGCTCCATGCAGACCTCCCTCCCCCACCTGCTTCCCCAGGGCTCCGCGCGGCCTGCCCCTCTCAGCCCCTCTTAGTGCTGCTCCCCCTGCAGAGGACACTGCCAAGCAGACGTGGCCCCACATGGCCGTTTGACCCATGTGGACACCTGACCCCAGGCTAGCTAGTCCAGCCAGGACCAGCAGTGACTCTGGGATGGAACAGTGATACACAGAGGCAGTGACACCTGCTGGGAAGGGGGCAGAGAACAGGCAGTTACAGAGGCGCAGGTGGCAGCCACCATGCAAGTGGGCAGAACACTGAGAAGCGACCGGACCAGAGAGAGGACGCTGTGGAGAGGCCCACCGGACGGCAAGCAAGGCAGGCCACCCCTCGCACTCTGCCCTGCTTCCCTGGGCTGCCATAGTGTCTGTCCCTCCAGCCAGTGCCTGTTCCCTCCCTCCTTCAAGTTACTCAGCAACCCCTCCCCCCATCCTACGTGCGAGGCCTCCTGCTGGACACTGGCTATCCGGCAGACACGGTGGTCTGGGCCACGGACAGACCGTAAACACCACAAACGCCTTGTTTCAAAGTAAGGGCCACGAAGGGGAGAACGGGGCAGCAGGGGGGCCGGGGTGTGCAGGCCTCTGGGAGGATGTGGCACTTGGGGGCCCCCGACAGGCCCAAGAGTAGGGAACACCCAAGCACGGCCAGAGCCAGCACCCACTGCACGCCTAGAGCCCCTGGCAGACGACGCCCAGGGCCACAGCCTCCCAGAGCCATCGGGGCGGTGGTGGCACTGGAAAAGCAGCTCAGAGAGGGGACGGGTGTTCCGAGGAGGATGCAAAGAATACTTTTAAAAAAAAAGAAAAGGAAGAACTTATAGCAAAAAAAGCTTCCCACAGTGGGCTTTAGAGCTAAAGCGGACATCTGAAGACAGCCGAGCCATCGCCCGATCCTGCCCTCACTGCGCGCGTGCAGAGCCCGGCTCCGGCTCCACCTCCACGCACGTGCCGGCACCCGACACCCTCGACGCGACGCTCCTCCTGGACTCCGCTGAAACCCAGGCGGCCAGCCAGGCCCTCCAGGGCCCAGACGCAGCGGCCGCTTGAGCCGCTCCAGGCCGGCCTCCCGCAGCCCGTCTGGCTCCTCCGCGTCCTTCTGGGTTTTCTCGACCACACCCCCACGGCGCTGGGCAGCCGCTCCTAACACGTGCCCTTCCTCCGCTGTCCCCTCGGGCCTGTTACCTACTGTCCTGTCCACGGATGACCCCACACCTGCGCAGCCCCCTGGCAGGCCCCAAGGGTGGACACTCGCACCCCAAACTCTTCTCTTCCCCAAACCCTTCCCTTCTGGACTCCCTGGCCCCAAACGCAGTGCCCCTCCGCCCGGGCACATGGGTCAGAAACATGGGAGGGAGTCACCTGCACGCAGGGGAGCCTGAGTGAGTCCTCAGCAGGTGACTCGCACGCCTGCCCTTCCCCTGGGCCCTGGGAAGTTCCTGCGCTGCGGCAGCTGCTGCCACATCCAACCAGCAAGTCCTCTCTCTGCCCTAGAGGGACACCTCTAAGACCCAGCTCGCATGGTCTGACACCCCGGAGTGGGGGGCTCCCGACCTAGCTGGGCTCCAGCCAGAGGAGATCCTGGTAGTGTTCCCACCAGTCGCCCCCGTCCCACCTCGCCCACCTCATCACTCCTGAATGCCCCAAACCCATCCCTGACGGCCCCAGGATTTATCGGAGCGGCCCGGAATGGTCAGTGGACTTGGAACATCCCCGTAGGAAGCAGGGCCTTAAAGCCAGGGCTCACGTCACGCTGGCCTCGCGCCCCCGACCTACGGTGTCTGCACTGCAGCCGGGCCCCCGACAAACGCCCACTGGCCAGAGCGCGGCTACTTCTCATCGACGACAGGACACATACGGCACGAGGCTATCCTCAAAATTCATCACCGCGGAAAGCACAGCGACGCCTAGAGACGCGCACACGACTGCCACGGAATGGAAACGCGGACGCGCACGTCCGGACTCGTCGCAGGGGCGCACGGACCCGCGGAGACAGGAGCGCAGTGGGCGCCAGTTACCTGCCAGCATGCTCACCACCGACAGCAGGATCTTCTCCACGCTCTGCACCGGGCTCCACCGCTCCGCGCTGCTCTCGTAGCCCATGGGGTCGTCGCCCGGCGCGTGGAGGATGGAGATGCAGACTCTGCCGTCCGGGTAGACTGCAGGGGTCAGAACACACCGGGTGAGCGACGGCGGGGCCAGGGCCACGGTGCTGTCCGCACGGCTGGAGCACACGCAGGGGCCCCGCCACGGTCGGCCCCGGTCCGCGGGCCCCTCGGAGCGCTGCTCACTCCCTGCAAGGCCTCTGGGCTGGCCCGTCCAGTTCTCGTCAGGGCACACCCCACCCTGACACGGGTTTTAAAGTTAAATCCCGAAGGAGCCAACGACGGGCTATCTGGCAGACACGGCGCCGAAATGCCTCACGGAAGGAGAATTACAATGCATCCCGGAACGACCTTCTGAAGCAGTCCCGAATCTGCCGGGCAAGCCCTGAACCGGGCTCGGAGAACGCACGACCGCAGGGCCGGGATGAGGCAACCGGTGACACTAGGTGGTGACGCTAGGTGGTGACAGCGCGCACCCCAGACAGCTACGTTCTTGCGCCAACTCCCTGTCATGGAGCCCCGTCAGCTTCAGCCCCTCGAACCTCCCCTGACCCCCACAGTCACATCGCTCTCCCCTGACCCTCACAGTCACCCTCTCTCCTCTGACCCCCACAGTCACATCCTGGACGCCCCTCGGTCTGTCCTCCACACTGCCCCAGAGTGACCCGTCAAAGACCACGCGGGCCACGCTAGCCCTGTCACACAGAGTCCCTCGGCGGCCGCCCTCGCTCCTGGGACCAACACCCAAGTCTGGAGCACTGTCGAAGACCTGCACTGGTCTGGCCTCCCCTCCTGTCCCCTCCCTCCTTCCTCGGCTACATCCCTCTACACCCCCCGCCCCGCCCCGAGAGACGCCCGGGAACGCCCACTGCTCTCCCGCACTGCCAGCTCCCCAGGTCCAGCCCGGCCCTTACCATCTGCTCACCGCTGCTTCCCGGTGAGTCCCAAGACCTGTGTCCAGTTCTCTTCTCAAAGCACTCTGGACTGACCAAGTTTTACAACACTGGCAGATCTAACAAACGGTTCTTCTCAAAAATTATTTTCACAAAATAAAAATAGCACATGTCCACTTAACGGTAAGCCCAAGTTTGAATCTATTTGTGTTGACTGTCTGAACATTAAAAAGAATATCATCAGACTACGACAGAGTCACATAACTCAGTCAGCTTACTGGCCACATCTGCTTCGAACACGGTGTCACTCGCGGGCATTGTCCCGAACACGTGCGTTTACCTTCACTATAACCTTATTAATTTGTGAGGACGCACAGTCTTCTTTACAGCTGCATCTCGTGGTTAATCCACTTGAAATCTGCCCTGTGCCATCAAGTCTACCGACCACAAGGTGTTTTCAAACCTCTGTGTCAGTCACCTCAGAGCCTCTCGGGTCCCCCTTCACCTGTGTCTCCCCACTTCCTTTCAGTGGTATCTTTGAAAAACACCTCTTGGATTTTTAAGCAAAATGTGACTCTCCGTTGATACAGTAACACCACATTTGAAAACTCAAAAAAAAGAAACTTTTTATTATGGAAAACTTCAAACACTCTCTGAAAGAGACGGCAGCATGGTGAGTGCCAAAGGCACTTGTCGCCCACCCGGACACCGCCAGCTCACGGCCAGTCCTCTCCAAAGGGCGCGTGCTTCTGAGCACCCCACCACGCGGAGCAGACCACTGCTGTGCTGAGAAAGTTCAAAGCGGTCCCCCCAAGGAGGACCTGAACTAGGGACATGTAACCTCATCAGCAGTAGATGACGAGTTCCTAATGAGGGTCTGAGTAGCATCCGAGAGGCCGAGCGCTTCCCGCCAGGCGGGCCGCCCTAGAGCCCACGGTGAGGACGGACACGTGGTTCACGTGGAATCGGCTGGAGAAGTCGAAAGCCCGGGGAAGTCTATAAATTCCTTCCCGGATTCAACTGGCCTTTAGCTGCCCGATTCATAGAAAAGTAAAGGAAACTGGTTTCAAACCCATTGTTACAGAACAGCACATCTTACTTTTCTTCTCCACAACTATTAAGGTCATGATTATTAGTGGCAGTTACGACCACTTCCAAAAAGGAATGTCACTCTAACCGCGATCACTGAAAACCTGACGTGTTTCCTTATTAATTCTCCCGTCTAAAAACCACGGCCTTGAATTCAAGAACTCTGCTCCCTGCTACTAGATATGTTTTAGCTAAAGCGCCGTAAGTTTACTTACGGGACCTCATTTTTTCCACTTTTTAAAATTAATACATGCGTGTTTAAAAAAAATTAAAAATTTACAGAAAGAAAAAATTATCCCACTGGTGAAAGGGAATCACTTTTAACATTTTGGTGCTATGTTTCAGTTAAATTGTAACCAACTACAGATACGAGCGCGCGGCCGGCCCGGCTGCCCCCCCGCCCCCGCCCCCAGCAGCACCGCCGGCTCAGGGGACGGCACTCAGTTCTTTCACATACGTTAAACCGTCCAGCAAAACTGTAATCGCGATGTCAACACCGCCATGACTAATCTGCTGAAGGTCAGAACATAAAAAATATTTTTACTGGTCTCTCAGTCACTGACACCACCTTTTTTATGAATATACAATCCCTGGGCCTCTCCTGGAACCAGCAAAACGACTTCCAAAAGTACTTACTGTTGGGATGGAACATCTCACAGGTAAACCTCATCTTCGGGGGGCTTAACGGGTAATCGAGGGGGAAACTCAGGATGGCAGGAAAAACACCAAACTCAAAGCAGGTGTCTTCTGGGCCCCTAGAAGACATAAAACACAGACAGCCCTTCACTGGAGGTTTGCCGCTGCCCGCCGCGCCTTAGAAACGAGTCAAGGGAGTTTTTACTGCATTCCAGGTGCACGTGGGAAGAGGCCACGCACCAGTGACGAAGCCGTGCTTTTCTCCCATTGTCCTGCCCCAACCTGGTTTAGATCCTAGGGACGGGCAGAGATGGAATGACAGGCGCAGTCTTCGCACTAATAAAGGCAGAGTGGGCCGCAGAGCCTCGCGACCGTGATGGGATCAGAGAAACGGACTGAGGTCGACACCGCACGACCCAACGGCTCCGCTTTCCGTGCGCGTGGACGGTCGCGTCCTGGGATAGATACGCATCGCGGCACGTGTCGCAGCGAGACTGCTGCGCGAACAAAGGAGGGGCTGACAGATGTCGTTCCGAAGGCCTCCGAAGTGACGTTTGTAACCCTCCAGAAACAGGTGAGGAGCACACGTGTGCTCCCTGCCAGGCTCCCCCCAGAAGGCCGGGAGTCTACACGCGCCCGGGCCCCATGCCATATCCTGTGACGACGCGGTCACCTACGCACTCACCGTCCCCCGCACGTGCACGCCTGCCTGCCTGCCTGCCTGGGTTGACCAACTCCTCATGTGGAAAGTTGCGGAAATGGACTAAACCACTTCAAAAGTCACATTTTACAAGTCTATATGCATAAATTCACAATGTCCTGACCAGCATGCAAGACATCAGGACAGCAGGAGACGAAGACGGGGCCACCAGCTGGCATCTTAACGAAGACGAGCTCATCTACCTGCACAATGTCACCTAGAAAATGTGCACCCAACTCATTTTAACAGATCACAGAACACTTTTCCTGCATACACTTTCTGAAGAAAACAGAACGGCTGAGTGACAGCTACTGGGGGCATGACCCATCAACTCAGTACGTAAGGAAGGAGACCCCACGCCATCCCTGTGAACTGAGAGGGACACCCCTCTCAAAACACCGTCTCTAAGCGATGACCTAACACAGCGCAGTGGGCGCCATCACAGGGGCCAAGGCCTCAGCCGCCACAGAAGCAGCTCAACACAGACCCGCCACCTCTCTAAATAAATACAGGGGAAAATTAAAATATATTTCTTCTGAAACAATCTATGTACATTTTTAGTTGTTTTTTAAAAAATACAGCTTTATCTTAAATCTTAACAAAAGTATTTTGATTCACTGAAATTTTTAAAGAATAGATTTGCAAACATCAGAAACATTTATCTCCACAATTAAAGGAAAAAGACAAAAAAAAATCAGAAGGAAACTGAACAGAGCTTCGTTTTCATCCGGTGCTGACGAGGCTTTTAACGGCACCGCTGCAGAGGTCACGGCTGTGTCGTGGGCCGAAGCCTGGGCTGCGCTAAAATGGTCACAACGAGAACAAGATGAGAAGTGTCCCGTGGAACCAAATTTTTTCAATTTAAGAGACAAATGTTGATTCAGAAAACTGTCCTCGCTACTCCGGGGAGAAGCCACAGTGAATAGCTACTTTGTTCTGGGCATGACAGTGCCCAGAGCACTGGCCTGAATCCAGGACAGGAAAGCCACCAGAGGGGCGTGGGGCGGGCTCCTGCAAGAGGGGGCGTCCAGCCTGAGGCCGGGGCTGCAGGCCGCACAGGGATGAGTGCCACCAGCACTGGGCAGCCCGAGGCCTGCCCCGCTGCTCCCGAAGGCGCCTGGGCCAAGACCACACACAAGGCTCCCAGCAGCCCGCGCAGGGGGCACCGCTCCGGGGGACTCCATGCGTCTGCGGACGGCAGGTGTCAGGGGCGCTGCTCCCACCCCAGCAGAGCTAGCTGTCCAACCAGGCACGACACGGCCGGGCCAAGGTCCAGGGTCGACGCGGCGGTAATGGCACGGCCGGCCCACACCGCACACTCGGGAGGCGGGGCGAACGGCGACACCACCTCTAAAGCCGCCCTGTCACTCAGTCGGGAACGCTTCCAGGGCCTGCACTCCTGGCACCTCTGAGTGGGACGAGAAAACAAGGCCTGGGTGATGTTTCTGGAATGAGCCAAATGGAATTTGCTCAAAACTTGGATAACAGTCCTTTGTTTCTCATAATAGAGCTTTCTTCAAAAATAAAAATAAAAAGCCCACTGGGCCGTGCGCAGCCTCAGAGACAAGACCAAACATTCCCTCAAGAGCTCCCACACCTTAAATATCAAAGCTATATCTTGACGCTCTGGTCGGCTACTGGTGTGACACCACTTTCTCTTCCAGAAGGCCGAGTCGCCTGGGGCCAGCGCGCAGGCCGCCCGCCCGCGCGTGCCCGCTGACCCGATGGGAGCCCTATGGAGTGAAGTCCTGGACGAGACGGCGGGTGAACTAGCACTGCTTGTGGACAAGCTTCAGTGCCACGCTCTGGCCGATGAGGCAGGGACGCCGCACGTCTCCCCTGAGGAAGGCCTCACCTCAAAATCCTCAGAAAAGTAGAAAGTACAATAGGAAACAGAACACAGTTGTGCGAGGCAAATATAAATTCTTCAAAGCCTGAAGATTCCTTTCCACCTTACTGATTAAGAAATGGCCTACGCTGTCTCAGAGCCGAGTGTCAGGGTGACGCCAGACGGCCACCTGACGGGGGCACAGATGCAGAGCGGGGAGCAACAGGGTCCAGGCCGGCCCTGTTTGCAGAGCCCACCCTGGGCCCAAGCCAGCACCGGGGACCCATCCGGCCACTGGCAGAGCCGCTGCAATCGGGGCAAAGTCATGCGGTTTTCCCGCTCACACCCAAGGGAAAAGCGTCCCCGGGGCAGGTCACCCCCAACGCGGGCGGAGATTCCGAGCGGCCAGAGCGCACCCCAAAGGGACGGGACGGCGGCAGGGCGCTTCCGCGGGCAGGGCGAGCCGGGCCGGGAGTCACCCGCCCGCGCACACTCCAGCTGCGGCAGGCGGTGAAGAGGCCACTTTTGCTGGTCTCTCGCTCAAGCCTGTCACAGCGCACAAAGCGCCTCAAACACACATGACAAGAGTTTGACGACGGCGACTGAACTCGTCGTGAGTACTTAGGCTTGAAATGGGTGACTAAGGGACGGTCACCCTCCCAGGACACAGCCACCTGGAACGTAAGAAAAAAAGGCGCACCGCCCGCAGAGACCCCACTCCCAGGAGGGGTCCTGCCCCCTTGCACTGCACCCCGCCACAGCGGCTGGCAGGGGGCACCAGGGAACCTCTGCTGCCTGGTGGGGCCACGCCCCCGCCTGCACCCTGGCCCGGCGGCCTTCTAGAAGGCCCAGGTCAGCAGCCCCTGCGGAGCCTTCCCGCCCCCTGGTCCTTGGGCCTCGGCCACCCGGAGGCCAGCGTGCTGCCGGGAGACTGCCAGAGGCCACCCGGCACACCCCTGGGGACAGACGCCACCGGCTGCCGGGAGTGGTGACCTACCGGAAGTGCCCCCCCACCCGGCAGGGCCCGGCCTCGCACAGCTCTCCAGGGAAAACCCGGATACCCTTTAGTTAGGCTTTTTCCTTTCGTTGCTCTGCGCACCAGGAGACTGATGTACAGACCCAATGCCGGCCGTGGGCAGAAAAGGGCAGACGCCCTGTTTTGGGAATCAAGGTGACAGCAAACAGGCATTCTTCCATAATCACACACACGACTGACCTGTCCAAGAGGCCAGAGTGATGCCTTAATTTTCCTGCAATATAGACATTTCTGAAAACTTCGCAAATACATTGGCACTGTATTTAAGGCCCATTTTACAAATAAGCTCATCGATTATAAGAACTTCACAGTGAATTCTGGACAACAGCTTTCACTACAACAGAAACTTCAACTTTATTCAACTGAAAAGTATGTGCATGTTGGAAAACATTCCAGTACGTGAGGATAGAAAGTAAAAAGCACACACATCTCATCCCGAAGGTAGCCCATAAGCTTGGTTATTCTCCCAAATTCATACCTTTACCCACCAAATTGGATTTTTCAAATTAAAAATGTATCATAGCGTCGCTGAGAGGAATTTTTAAAGACCCAAATAGAGAGGTCCTCCACGCATGCGGACTGGAACACGCCTCAGGTGGACGGAATCAGCCAACGTGGTCCCTGCGAAAACCCCGGCCGCTGCTTTGTAGAAATTCACGAGCTGATCCAAACACAGGAGCCCCAGAATAGGGAAAACACTCTCAAAAAGGGGGAACACTGTGGCACTGGTCTGAGGACGGGCATGGCTCAGTGGAGCAGAACTCAAGAGTCCAAAAATAAACCCTCACGTTTACGCTCAATTGATTTTTGATGCCAAGACAATTCGATGCCAAAAGGATTTTATTTTCAGTAAATGATGCCAGGATGACTGGACATCCCAAGCACATCCCGCCTCACGCCGTACCTCAACACTCACCCAAATGGGTCAAACACCTAAACGTAAGAGCTGCACACACAACCCCTAAGAGAAGACCTGTGGGACTCTGGCTCGCGGGACAGTGAGAGCATGATCCATAGAAGCCAAAACCTGCCAGGCTGCACTTCAACTTCTGAGCTTCAAAAGACACCATTGAGAAAATGAAAAGAAACCTGCAGACTGAAAACAAGTATTTGGAAATCACATATCTGATAAAGAACTTGTTTCCAAAACACGCAAACACTCTAATGACGCAACGGTAAGAGGATATCCCAATGTGAAAATGGACGACCGTTCTGAAGGTCACCAAGGAAGGCCTACGAGTGGCCAGCGAGCCTTGGGAAGACGCTCAACACCGCTCAGCCACCAGGGAATGCAGACCAAAGCCCCACGAGGCCCCACTTCATGTCCACCAGGACGGCAGGGACCAGATGCCGGCGTGGGTGACGGGGCAGAGGCAGGGGCCTCGGGGGCCGTCGGCGGGAACGTGGACGGTGACGGGGCTGAGGTGCAAACGGCTGGCAGCTTAGAACGCACGACAGAGACGGACCCTGCGCCAGCCCCTCCGGCCCTCCGTGCCCGCCGGGAGACGTGGGAATGTGTGTCCACACGGACCGTGTGCGAGCTGCCGCCTGGCCCGGATCGGCAACGAAGAGGAGGAAACGCCGCCCGGCCAGGCGGGGCAGCCTGACGCGCCGCGCCCAGAAGCCACCCCCGAGAGCAGGTGTTTCCTGACGCCACTGGCAGGGAAGGCGCAGCACAGGCAGAGCCATAAGGCAGGGGACAGCAGGGCTGCCTGCGGCCCAGCGGGGCGCGGCCTGACACCGGACTGTGCGATGGCCCAAGACTCTGCCCGGTCGCTGAGAGGCTCGCCCCGCGCGCCTAGCCGGGGCACTTTTGCTGCCTGCGAGACCTCGGTAAAGCTGCGCCGCCCCGTGCGCCCCAGGCCTTCTCCGCCTGCCAGACAGTCCCACGGCGTCCACAGGGTCCCACTAGATGCCGGTGTGGAGCAACCCTGCTCCCCAGGGTGACAACCGAAAATGTTTCCAGATGTGGCCAAACGTCCCGGGGGCAAGACCAGCCCCGGCAGACAGCACTGGTTTAGACCCGCTGCCCCATAATTCGCTGCTTCTGCTCCATAACCTCGTGGCCACCTCCCTGTGCCAGCACGGAGACTGCCTGGACCTCCTCAGAGCTACTTGGACGGATGGATGTCCTGTAAGTCAGGGGTCTCCAGCCCCTGGGTACCGGTCGTGGCCTGTCAGGAACTGGGCCACGGCAGGAGGTGAGTGGCGGGCGGGCCAGCGAAGCTCCGTCTGTGTCTGCAGCTGCTCCCCAGCGCCGGCACCACCGCCTCAGCTCCGCCTCAGGCCATCAGGTGTTATTCTCATAGGAGCACCTGTCCCCGGTGCCAAAAGGGTTGGGGCAGATACAAAGGTAGGCTGGAGAGAAATAATGCTCGCCGAGGGGCCGGGAGACCCCCTGGAGAGGCGGCGATGGGGCTGGGGGGGAA